AAGTGTAGATATGAGATAGCAAATTTACAACACGCTGACAGTAGAGGAGTGGCACATGCGAGTCAAGTGAGAATGCGAATAAATTGACCACAGATTATGAGGGAACGGTACTTACACTAATAGTAGCAGCTAGTAGCTAAGGGTTGAGTTTGACGGTTGTCAAAAAGGTGTGCCGCAACAAATCACTTATTTCTTTTTCACTTTAATTCACTCGTAATTCAACGCAAGTTTTAATGACAATTCTAGCATAAGTTTAGGCGTGAGGGCTTGGCTGTTACTAGGACATTCAATGCCGGGATCCCGAACACTTTTCCATGTTGAGATGTTGAAAACGAAAAGATTAATTCATTTGACATGAAAAAACGAGAAATAAGTACATAACACCAAAATTTATATTCAACAAAGTTTGAAACTTGAGCCATTTGTACTCGGAAACGCATTTCAGAACCTGCCTGAATAACATTACTTGTTCAAACATTTTGTGAAAGAACTCTGCAACAACGAAAAATCTTGTAGCAATTGAAAACACAACAAGCTTTTACAATGTGGCAGAGTTGTTCCTCATTTTACTTTGTTCGCGTTTTTTGGAAAATTAATTTCTGCAATATATGAGTAAGTGTTTTTTTACAATTAAAATAGATATTTAAGAATTCTATAAAAATATTTAAAAATTAAATTACGGACTCTGTTACTAAGGTACATTATTCGCCCCGTAAGACGAAATGTGGTGACAATGAATCTGTGTAGTTTAAAAAGGGCGCTCCTACTGTAAAATGCAAAAATTGTGATGAAGTCGGAAACCCGAAAAATCCCGAGATCGCGGGTTTAGAATTGTTTGCATCCCGATATCCCGGTATTGTTAAAATTCTTCGGGATTGAATGCCCTAGCTGCCACTTATAGCTAAAAACAAAGCAGTAACTTAAATTACTCTTAGGTAAAAAATCATTTTTAAGTCCAACTACTTTCAACATTTTCCTTGTTGATTATGTCAATCGTTACATTAACGTTTACAGTCTCAGTATATTTTTAGAGGATAAGACTCATATGTGACTGCGCTTTAATTCGTTATTTATGCCTACGCAAGCTTCAACGAACGCACCTTCGCAATTACGTAGATTATTTTATATACAAAACGTAAAAAAGAGAAAGAACTCCTCTGTGATGGGATAACCAGGTGGAAAAGGACTTGGCTACACTTGGCATTTCTAATCGGTCTCAAATGGCATAGAAAAGAAACGACTGACTGATTAGACTCGGCCAGAATCGCTTAAGTAGTTACAGTGCCAACGAAGAAATAGAACAAGATGTGGTTATACTATATGTTTTAACCACCAGTGTATTTGGACTAACTGCGGGGAATACACGGCATTTATCAGAGTACTTCCAATAATGGAGAATAGTCTTCACTGCGCCACCGAGTATGACAGTGAGTCAGGCCATTCCTCATATAAAAAAGTTTGTTGTTATTGAAGCAGCACTTTGCTTGCGAATAGGCTGCTTTGTTCATCATCCATAACTGACATCTACAACGTCTTAGACCCAGAAACCACGTACCATCTCTTTTGGTTGTATCCCAAACGCGTATTATGACAGATGGGTGCGATACGTGGGGCGAATTAAAAAATGGCCAATGTTGGTGGGTACCTTTCCAAATGTAGGTAGATGCCAGTGTACATCAGATAAGCTTTTTGTCCCAACGGAATCTGAGTTAAGTAGGTGAGACCTTGATACTTGCAGAAGTTCTACTTCAATCGAATCGATATGGAGCTGGAGACTACCAAGAAAAATGTTATGGTTCACTGCGGCAGTTAGGCCCATATTTTTGATGCCCTACAGCTATGCCTCAAGGCTCAGGTTGGACATTTCCCACCAAATAAGTACAGTGGATCCTTATGTGGCATGGCAGTGTAGGTGTTTCCGCCGGTTGAAAGTATGATGATCTAAAAAAAAAGCCTTCTGTGCTCCTTTTCCGGGAGCTAAGTTTTGCCGTCTCTGAAGGGCTTTTTACGACGTGGGGGAGCATAGCTTACTTCATAACGGCAGATTACTTTTTAGGTACTTGAGGATCTTGCTCTTGCTACTAGCTTTATTGCTTAAAGCTGTACTGTGCGTTGAAAAGGAATATATGCCGTCCAAATAAATTTGGATAGCTGGAAGTTAGAATTTTAACTTTAACAACTTCAGTATAATTCCAGTCTCACTTTCTTAGCGCACGCGATGATGAATTTGGGCGTTGAAAAACAGTACCGATTTGTTTCGTATGGAGAGTGATGCCCATTAGGGCAGGTCGATTTTATTTTCTATTTTTTTGACTATGCGCGTATAGCTTAGGAGGATTCTACATATAATTCTAAGCCAATTTGCCAAATAAACTATGGGTCTAAAATCAGTTTGTAGTGTGCCAAATCGCGAAAATAGGTCTCGAAGAAAATGTGAAAATTTTCACTGCTACGCCTGCTGGTGGAAGTTAAAGAAAAATATAAGTTCAGAGATGGATTGCTCATACCAAAATATTCTTATAGTATGTTTTTATACTAAATTTAAGCACTTCTTTAAGACACTATAGTACCTATTTTTGCAATTTGGCAAACTCCAAATTGATTTTAAACCCATGGTTTCTTCGGTAAATTTGCTTAGAATTATCCACAGAATACTTCTGTACTATACGCACAGTCGAAAAAATCTGTCATACAAATTGAGATGCCCTAATGTTCATACATACATACATACATCCTCATTGTTGACGCTCACTGAGCTCTATCTACAGATGAATCACAGCGAGCTGTTCTGGTAGCTGATTCACACACCCGATGTAGATAACAAAGATGCTATTTTCCTTTTAATAAAAGTTAAATAATGCATGTAAGAAAATGTATGAAGATCAGATAATTGATGTAATTATGTAGTACTTGTTTTCAACCTACATACATATGTATGTAGTACATGCATATTTACATACATACATACATACATGTTGTTAAAAGAACGTCGTAATACCACAAAAACATTGACTGAAGAAGGGAGAGCCCGAATCACGAATCACGTGATCGAATTAAATTCACTTCGAAATTTTTTTTTGTTGAGATTACGGCATAGAGTCCGACCGATTAATCGGCATCGGCCAAAAATTTGGAATCGGTCGGACTTTATTAGGGCATTCGATAACGAGTTCGCTTTTTCAATTTGAATTGTGTTGGAATGAAAACATTTTCATTCCATCACGGATTGTGTTATTCGGACCCAAAATTGACATATGTACATGTACATAACAAGAAAGCCATCAGTCTTTGACCATAAGTTATTTAATGCAAATTAAGGTTTAATAATTGTATCCTCCTATTAAATTTTAGTACTAGATACATATATGTACATATGCATTTATAAAAAAATTTTAATTATTATTTTTTTTTAATTTTTAATTTTTGAGCTATGACGTTCTTCTAGCAAACGAGCGCTAAGTAAACAAATTACTAGTTTTTTTTAAGTTCGGGTACAAAGCATTGCTTGTACTCACCTCTGCCTCTAATACCTTCATAGTCCCGGCGTCGATGTTGGCCAACAACAGCCACTTCCGCATCATCATTTTGCCGACGATAGGAGAGATGCGATCGAATAGATGAGAAAGGCATAGCCGCAAGTTGCAATTAAACTGGGTCAGCCAAGAGTTCCGATGATACAGTACATATGTACATATGTTTGTAACTATATACGCCGCCAACGATGGATGATGGATCAGGCGAAGACACATAAAATGAAAGCTACAAACAAGGGGGCGGATATGCTAGAGCGCGCACTACTGGGGCTTCGCTGCCAACAGCTTGTAACCGCGAGCGTTGCACCGAAACCGGAAGCAAATAAGATTTTTTCCGCTAAACAGCAACTATTTAAAACAAAACTTTACTACCGCACTTCACCTTAGAAACACTTTATATTTGGGCACTTTGCATTTATTTGTAGGCACAAATTATTAAAACATATTTTCGTAGTAACAAATGATGCGCAAGTTATGAACCCGCTACTCGCTCGCTCGGTGCCATAACACTTTTCTACTCATTTCTATTTTTTCTATTATCTATTTGCGCTAATAAAAGCAACTGATGAAATGCTATTTTAGCAGCACAAACTCAACTTGCGATAAGCTTACAAGTTTTGTTTACACACTTCACTAAATTTTTCTACACTCCACTGACCGCACTTTGCTTAATTTTCAATAATTTCACTACCGCCACCGACATTGAATCGTTGCAAAATATCTAATGCGCTGCACAATAAAAAACTGCAAATACTTTTTCATTCACCAAAGTGAAAATTGCAATAAAGAATACAAAGGCGCAGTACAGAAACAACACCACGCAGAAGAGGAAGCAACAGAATATCTGATAATTGGTGCTAAATACAGCTGTGCAGCTGGGAGTGGGAGAGAGAGATATATGTGCATGAATGTGTATGTGCTTGCATTGCTGATAAGCAACGATGCAACGAAATAAGGAAAAAGTGGCCACACTTTGCCAGTCAGCTGACAGCTATTCGTTAGCAGTGCGAGTCTCGTTCGCTAGTTGTTCCTGGAGCATGCAACAAATAAACACAGAGGTCGCTTTCAACGGCAGCCATTTCGTCATTTCGTTTCGTTGGTTTCGGCGAAATGTTTGTTAACGGTTCCGGTTTTGTGACTTTATACTAGCCGTCTTCGATTCGCCAACAGTTAGCGAGTGGCGAAACGAACGAACTCAATGCGTACAACCAAACTGGCTATCGTCTATCCGCGCTAGCTAACTTTGTTGTTGCTTTCACATGCAAAATTCTTCTTTAAGCGACCGGAACTCAGACATAGCGAGCGAGAAGTGGCGAATCGATGACGGCTAGTAACAACAAAGTTAGCTAGTAAAGATGGACGATAGCGAGTTTGGGTGGATCAAGGCGAATTTATACAAGGTGTTGTTGGCAGAACAAAAACAAAAATTTCAATAACAAATTATACGCACATCGACAATTAGTACAAAACAAAGTTACAACAAACACATCATTTTGACAAAAGGTACAAATTCGTAGTGAAATGAGCGGATACACCACATTGTATATATTCGGTTTGGGTTGTACCTTATGTTACGAACGGCTCGAACAGGTCTTTCCCAATTCTGACGGAGCAGGTGGTATTGCTCAACGTCATTTTACACAACCGTATGAGTTTTGAGGGGATGCCAAATTCAGACATAGTGGCATATAGGCAAATAAATATGAGATTAAGATCTGGCTACTTTAGCAGGCATTCGAAAGTTTATTGCATCATACGGCCTCTTAAACTCATTCAACCAACTTCCTGCCTCTTTAGCTTGACCTTTTCGTAACAGCACGTTTCACGGAGTTACCGTTATAGTTGAGCTCGACCGCAACGATTAATAGACTAGCTGATTTAGGCAGGGCCGCAAAAACAACAGGGCAGATAATGCTACTTACATATGTTTGTATGTATGAATCATGTGAGCGACTTTCGCTATCATCTCAGCTTTGATTAATTTTATTAACTCGAAGAAAATAATACTGTAAACAAGTTGCATCTCCTGCAATAAATATATACATAAACGCATACATACATACATGTGTTCGTATGGAATAACAGTCTAAGTCGGGAGGTCGACTTTAGTAAAATGCACCATTCCCANATATGAGTTTTGAGGGGATGCCAAATTCGGACATAGCGGCATATAGGCAAATAAATATGAGATTAAGATCTGGCTACTTAAGCAGGCATTCGAATGTTTATTGCATCATACGGCCTCTTAAACTCATTCAACCAGCTTCCTGCCTCTTTAGCTTGACCTTTTCGTAACAGCACGTTTCACGGAGTTACCGTTATAGTTGAGCTCGGCCGCAACGATTAATAGACTAGCTGATTTAGGCAGGGCCGCAAAAACAACAGGGCAGATAATGCTACTTACATATGTTTGTATGTATGAATTAATGTGAGCGACTTTTGCTATCATCTCAGCTTTGATTAATTTTATTAACTCGAAGAAAATAATACTGTAAACAAGTTGCGTCTCCTGCAATAAATATATACATAAATGCATACATACATACATGTGTTCGTATGCAATAACAGTCTAAGTCGGGAGGTCGACTTTAGTAAAATGCACCATTCCCATAATGCCCCATAACGCGCTAGCCATTGAAAAACTCATGGAAAATAAACCTGAATTAAATCATTTTCATGTCAGCAAGCCGCGGCCGATATTGGTTTCAGTAATAATGGGAATGGTTCATTACAGTATAGGCAACGTCTCGACTTAATCTGTTTTCTGTTTCGTATATACCGAGACAGCGAAATAAACAAAAATACTGCTTCTTGAAACCCTTCTTTTTGATTTTAAAAAGTGATTTTCAATACCTTCTAATTTAGCTTCCCTAAGAAGGGGAATTATAATGCAGTTAAAATGTTAACACGCACCGAAACCCCAACTTCGATTGTTTTCTTTGCCTTCCGTTACTTTGTAAACTTTTGTCTGCCTTCGAAGAAGTTCTTCTAATACAGCTTCCAAAGTGAAGATGTTATTGAGAAAGCTGTCTTAAAGAAGCGCTGCTCAATTTGACACTGGGAACATATACCTATGTATGGATCAATAAGAGTATATATGTACATATGTATAATATGGTCGGTGTGACTGAGTGCTTAGAGATGCGTACTACCACACTGTTGGTCCTGAATCCGATCCCTGATCTGGGTAACATATAAAAAGTTTTTTCAAACAGCGGTCGCTCCTCGGCAGGCAATGGCAAACCTCCGAGTGTATTTCTGTAATAAAAAGCTTCTCAAGAAATTCATTTGGCATTCATAGGCAACATAAAACTGTATATCTAGATGCACACCATCAATAGGAGGAAAAGCTCGGCCAAACACATAGCAAAAGTGTAAGCGCTAAAATATTATATTTTATGTTATTCGCTTTACACATTATCAGCAACTAGAGGTCAATACTTTTTCCAAGGAAATACCCAGAAAATGCAATAAAATCAGAGCCGCTCAATATGAAGTAAGCTTCAGAGGTATCATCAACGCTGATAAGGGAATACTGCAAGTCTATCGCTTACCATTTCGTTTGGAATCTTCTCATTCAAAGTCAATAAAATTGCATGTTTTTCACAGCATCCCAGTCAAAAGACTTTCAACTCGAGATGGGTTTAGTCGCGTATGGAATTTTGATTTTAACTCTTTCGCTTGCCTCGGCAAAAAAGCTCGATGAGTGCATTGTACCTATTGCATCCATACACTACAACCGCATACAATGGCCACTGATCTACAAATCCAATGGCGAGTTATATCCCACACAAGTGGATGGAGCACAACAACACGCTAGTGTTCATTTGCCCGCCGGAGCTGAGGCCATACTTTCATGTGGACCTAATTATCTAAAGAACTATAATCGCGCAGAGGTTTTGC